TTAATAAGTAATAACAATAATTTAAAAATTATAGGACATTAAAAAATTATACGACATTTATAAGACAACTGGAAAATCTGAACACTGGATATTTAATATCAAGGCATTATTGTTAATTTCTTAGGTATGAAAATGGTATTGTGTTGTGCTAAAAAAAAAGTCCTCATCCTCTAGAGATGCATGTTGAATTATTTATGGGTGAAATGATGTGATGTGTAGAATTTTCTTCAAAATAATATGGGAAGGAGCCAGATGAAACAAGGTTGGGCATGAGTTGAATGACTGTTGAAACTGATGAGTACAGGGGGTTTCAATATACTATTCTGTCCATTCTTCTTTATGTTTGAAATTCTCTATAATGAAAGTTTTAAAAAAAATTCCATGTTATACTAATAAATCCTAATAGTTCCACTAAATTCTACAGCAAAAGATAAAATATTAAAAAAGAAAATTGGTCTGAGTATGTTATTGCCCTAAAATACTGAATTTTTAAAGTCTACGTGACTTTTTTTTAAAGGTTTTATTTATTGATTTGAGAGAGACACAGCAAGAGCATGAGCAGGGGGGAGGAGGCAGAGGGAGAGGAAGAAGCAGGCCCCTGCTGAGCAAAGAGCCCCATATGGGACTCGATCCCAGAACCCTGGGATCATGGTCCGAGCCAAAGGCAGACGCTTAACCAACTGAGCCACCCAGGCGCCCCTCTACGTGACATTTTCAAAGATGCATTAAACATACAAGATTAATCACACTTCCTGGAATTGCTCAAAGAAGCAATTAAGGATGAAGAAGAAAAGATAGTCAAGACTCGTTCACCATATAGAAAAATCAGATTGAATAAATTGTGGCATAATAAAAGAGTATTCCTCTATTTAAAAAGATATTGTAGAAACGTATTAGCAGTACAAAGATTGCTTTCAAGTTGAAGAGAAAACATGTTAAAATAGCCTATGTAGCAGAATCTCGCTTCTGTTATTTCAAAAAAGCAGCAGGAATGTAAGCATGGAAAAGGATATTCAGTAAGGTTCACAGTTATCTTTTAATGGGTGGGGTTATGGGTTTTTCTCTAGTTTCTTTTTGTAAACGGCTTAAGAATTCTCTATCAGAACCATGGCTTGTTTTTGTTATTTCAAAAATCACAGAAACATTATGAGGAACTGACTAAATGATAAAAAAGGAAACTTGGTTTTACTCCAGCAGCACTAGCCTTACTAAACACACACACACTCTTAGCATCCCATACTTGAACCAGAACTACAATCAAGAGCACTTCAGAGGAAGCTGCTTGGGCAGGAAACAATCATCTGAAAAATAAGTTCTCTAAGAAGGGAAGGCAGGTCTCCTGTCCCAGCCCGTTAGGAGCACACACTGCAGTGGCTTTCACTCTGGGTCTCTAGCTGTAAAAGCAAATAGTTTAATGGCAAACATGCTCTATCTAGGTTAAGGTGCCACAGATCTATGAACGCAGAGAGACACATCAGACCCTGTTTTGGGGTCATGGTGAGAAAAGGGCTTGTTAAACAGTCCCTTTCAGAGAGGGAAATTACCTCTTACTCATTCACTCCCTGGGAGAGACAGTCGAAGAGCATCTCTCCTTAGAATCCTAACGCTTCTGTCTGAAGTGCCCAGCTCACTCACGGCTCTTGTTATCCCAGGCAGCAACTAAGAATCTCACCTCATAGTCTTTCCTTGGAAGGATCTCCTCCTCCTCCTCCTGTGTTTCTCCAAGGATGGTCTAGAAAAATAGATCCACAAAATGGTTAAAAGGTTAAATACTTAAATGGTTAAAAGTAGAAAGAGAGTATCTATTGAAATGTGTTGCTAATTTCCAAATCATCTAGAACTATTATCAAACGGGAACAAGATCTCAAAAAAAAAAAAAATTGGGGGGGATGGGGGTGATGTCGGTGGCTATCTATAGTCACACAGCTGAGCTCTTCGTTTCTACTGATACGTTCTCCAAATAACCACTCTTGTCTTCAGGACACCTCAAAGATCTCCCACGCCAGATAAAGGAGAAAAAAAATTCAGGTTCCATCGGACAATGTACTGAATCTGAAAACAGAAGGGAGGGACCTGTCAACTCTGGGACACAGCAACTTAAGTTTTCCCAGGGTCCTTTGCAGAGGGAAGCTGGATTATCAATGACCCAGAAAAGGTGAGGGATACAGTGAGAAAGGGCTGGAGAAACTAAGCTAGCTGCTTTGATAAGCACAAGGTCCAGTGAAGGGGCTCATTCTGAAAAAGCTCGTTTCATTCAAAACTCCTTTCACATGGAAATATAAGAAAACATGGACGGGATTAACTGCAGCGGGCCTGGATTCTCCCTCAGATCCCAGGGAGGGGTTATGAAAAAAGACCCCAGACTTGGGCGCGGGAAGCGCGGCAGATGCTTGGAGAGCCTAGGATGCGGTGCCCGGGCCCCACCCGCTGCCACCTGAGGCCCCAGCTCGGCCTGGCCCCACCCCCCGGCAACGCCTCTCGCCGTCCCTTGGCAACTGCCCTCTCCCCAGCTGGGCTCCTCCCGCTCCTTACCAACTCCTCCGGGGTGCGGGTCTCACGCTCACCGCAGCAGCAGCACCACCTGCAGCAGCAGCACAGGGACCCCCTACACCCCGCCATCTCCCTCCTTTACTGCCACTCTGGAACCCTCCGCCAACCCCCTCCCACCCAGAATCCGCGCCTCACGTGACTGGCCCCGACAGTGTCACGTGGTCCTCTCGAACTAGGGACGGAGACAGGGAGTGGCTGCAGACGGGTGGGGCGAGGGCCCGCGTCACATGACGGTGGAGGGACAGCTTCCAACGAGACCTCTGGGCGCGGCCATGTTGGGGACGAAGCTTCCGGTCGCCGGCCCGGATGGTTTCCGCCCTCTCGTCCCGCCTCCCTCAGCAACCTGACACCTGCGCCGCGCCCCGCCCCCGCGCGCCCCGCCCCCCGCACGCGCCCACACACTGGTCAAGCAGCTGCTGCGGTCGGGCGCGCGCGCTCTGAGTCACCCGCGACGGCAAGGTGAGTGGAGGCGGGGTGTGGGGTCTCCAGGGAGGGATATCCGGGAAGTGGAGACCACCCACCCGGGGGCGGAGAGCGAGGGAGGGCGGCCCGCCCCTCAAGGTGGTGGGCTTCCGCCCCTCCGCGCGAGCCCTCTGGGGAGCTGGTGTAACCTCCGGTGGCTGCGACCCCCAGTGACCTCCAGCCCTGAAGGGAAAACTCACTTTCAGCCCCCGGCCTGGACGGAGGGGACACCGGGGGAGGAGGCGGCCCTGAGGCGGGGGTGGAGACCCAGCCCGCGTCCCCGCCCCCACCTTGACCCAGTGACCCGGTGATTCGATTCGTGGTCGTCGAGCCGGGTGCCGGGGGGCGGGGGGGGGGTCTTTCCGGCTCCGGCCTTTTAAACCTGCCTCCCAGCTGTAGCACCTGTAGGCGGCTGGCGCAGTCTCTGGCGCCAATGCAGCGGGCTGCGCTCAGGTGGGCGGGTGGGTTTCGTATTCGTGCCACGGTGCTTGGCACAGATTAAGCAAGCGGTCAGGAGATGGCAGAGGGTTATTTTGAGAACACAGTGGCAGCGCTTGACCCGTTGGCGCTCACTGAGTGCTGGTTGTGAGGACTGCGCCGGGCATGGGGGATGCCACAGGCAGGATATTGGGCCCTGGTCTCAGGGAACTGGGGGGTTGGAGAGGAGCCAGAACTGTGAATCCACAATTACAACCCTATGTGAGAATCCATCTTAAGATGGTTAAGAAGTGATGCGAGAAAGGAGGTTGAAGAAAGGCACGTATTTGGCACTTACTAGGAACGCAGTTAAGGCTTTTTTAAGTAAAATGAAAGAGCATGTAGTTCTGCTTCCTCCCCTTGGTTTTGCTCCAGCAATCAATGAGCCACTCTCTTGAATTCGGGAGAAAGGTCAGCCAGGCTGATCTTGATACCCTCCCTCTCCTTACTCCTGATGATCCCTGCTGAAGAGCTGGAGTTTTAGGTCAGGCTCAAAATGGGCATCCCAAGGAAGAAAAATTGTTGGTACAAGTGTTTTTTTTTTTTTTTACTTTGGCCTTGACTCCTTGACTTTGGACGTACAAGCTTGTGTTGTGTGCGTTTCAGGGGAGAGGAGTAGTGGAGTTCATCAATTTCTCAAGAGTCTAGGATCCCAAAATAGTTAAGAACCCCGGTTTAGCTGTGGCTGTTCCCTGAAAGGAATGAACTTGGCCTGGTTGTTCCTCTGATGCCCCATGTCACCACACATAGGATTTTCACTACTAAAAATGGGTGTTTGCACATTGCTGTGTAAGAGTTGTGTTCTGTCTTGTTTTTAAGTATTTGTTTTGTTTTCTCCCCGGAACTGGCCAATGACGCCATGCCCTCTGCTGGCCTGCCTGTGGTTGCCATGGCTCAGGGCCTTCGTATGTGGTGGCTGTGCAGTCACTATAATTAACTGACTTGGGTGCTGGGTGTAAGGAGAACAGCCTGGAATGCAGGCACAGATGGGACAGCTTTTGTTCTGAGTAGGACACAAATTCATGCCCTTAATTGAATTTGGGTCCGGTTACTTGTGGAACCCAGCCAGTGTCAAGTTCTAACCCATGACAGGGTCTTTTTGGAGTAGCATGAACTCAGGAGAAACCTGGCTGCTCTGTCATGCCCACACTCTTTCCATCCTGTATGCAGACAGACTGTTTCAAGTAACAGGAGATGTTCCAGGCAGGGCCAGGCTGAGCTCTGCCTTCTTTGGAGAGTAATCCAGTGACCCTGAACGTCTGTTGGTCTCCTATCCACCAACCCCTGCAGTCTCCAATCAACATCCCCCTCCTTCAATCCGGCTTCTGCAACTAGAGCCTCAGCCCTCCCTCTTGCCTGGAAGCCTTGCCCCCGCCCCCTTGCGCAGGGCCCCAGCTAGCCTAGCTCTGGGCTCTTCCCTTGTCACAGCTTCCTCCGCCCAGAGGAACACACTCGCTGGGAAAGTTTCCTCTTACTTCTTCCCCACCCACTCTGGGTCCCGGCTGGCAGAGATGGACCATCCAACACCCAAGGTTCTCCCAGCCAGACCCCGCGGCCCCTCCCTAGGAATGTGGGCTTTGGAGACCGGCAGGGTGAGGTTTTCAGTGCCACCCTCCATCAGGTAGCTGTCACCGAGGATCCCTGGGCTGGAGGAGCATGTTTCTGTGCCGGGTGGGGCTGGTTTATTTGGAGCCAGGGGCTGTGGAGGGCATAGACAGTCACAGCTGTGGTATGTGGAGTCACTGGGTGGGGGCATTGTCACCCTTACCGTCCCTGGCCTTCTTCCTGCTGGAAATGCCGCATCTCACTTGACCCTGCCACTCTGGGACTTGGCTGCCTACCCTCTGATGCTCCTGCCCCCACCCGTGCAGCAGGAACCCGGCCATGGTGAACGAACCCAGAGGGGATGGCGGCCCCCCTCCCCGCTCAGAGGGCAGCAGCAGCGGCAGCGAGAGCTCCAAGGAGAGTTCAAGATGTTCCACGCCCGGGCTGGACCCCGAGCGCCGCGACAGACTCAGGGAGAAGATGAGGCGGAGGATGGAATCTGGTGACAAGTGGTTCTCCCTGGAATTCTTCCCTCCTCGGACGGCTGAGGGAGCTGTCAATCTCATCTCAAGGTGAGTTGATGTAGTTGGTGAGTGGGGTCGGAATGAGGGGGCCCCTGGGTGGGGGGAAGGCAAAGACGCAGCCCTGCTGCAGGGCCACACTCTGACCCGGCAGGAAAAGGCAGCCAGAGGGGATGGAAAAGAGCAGGGTAGACCACTGGAGCTGTAACTTCTCAGCTGTCAGCAAAAGTCCCTATAAGCATCTGGGATTTTTTTTAAAAGATTTTATTTATTTATTTGAGAGAGAGTGAGAGAGAGCATGAGCGGGAGGCAGGGAGAGGGAGAAGCAGACTTTCTGCAGGGCTCGATCCCAGGACCCCAGGATCATGACCTGAGCCGGAGGCAGACGCTTAACTGACTGAGCCACCCAGGTGCCCCACATCTGGAATTTTTAGACACATTCTTCAAGGGGTTAAAAATGTTGATTCTCTCAGACCGCATTCTTTGGCAGAACTTGGGGCTGGTGCATGAATACAGTTTAGGAAGTCATAAAGCAGTGGCTTGGAGAACATTTCAGTGAGTTAGGAATTCAACTTAAATGCCTCTCAAAATCTAGAAATGCCAAAAGAATTAACGTTAGCGCCTTATGAATTGCGGTTCTTTTTTTTTTTTTTAAGTTTATGCATTTTATCATCTGCATTTTTCATGTGTTGCTCTGAAAGTTTTGAAGTTTAGAGGCACAAGGATGTTTATTTTATTTTTTTTGAAGATTTTATTTATTTGACAGAGAGAGGGAGCACAAGCAAGGGGAGCAGCTGAGGGAGAGGGAGAAGCAGGCTCCCCATTGAACAGGGAGCCCCATGCGGGGCTCGATTGCAGGACCCTGGGACCTGAGCCGAAGGCAGATGCCCAACTGACTGAGCCACCCAGGCGCCCCAGCACAAGGGTGTTTAATACTATGTTATAGCTGTAATACCGTGGTCAGACAGGCGTGTGTGCACACCTGTGGCTCTTGAGTCTCGTTCGGGAACCGTAGCTGTGTTCTAGAAGCCTGCTGGCTGGCACCACAGTGGGGGGAGGGGTGTAGCATGAAAGAAACTTGTGTCTGCTGACCCTTTTTTTCCTCTTCCTAGAGTGAGCCTCTGCTTGCCACTCTGAGAGTTCCCTGTGCCTTTGTCGAAATGTCTTAACTCACCCGAGGTAATACGTATGCAAGCACTTTGAAAAGGCTGCGGGGCTGCCCTCTCACAAAACGGTTGCGTTGTTGATATCAGTTATCTCTGCAATAATAATCATCATCGGGGTGCCTGGGGGGGCTCAGTCTGTTAAGTGTCTGACATCGGCCCAGGTCATGATCTCAGGTCACGCTCAGTGGGGAGTCTGCTTCTCCCTCTCCCTCTGCTCCTCCACCCCCCCTTCATTCTCTCTCTCTCTCTCTTTCTCGAATAAAATCCTTAAAAAAAAAATCATTATCGTAACAGGAGCTCACAATGAGCGTTCAGTGTGTGGAGCCATCTATCGTAATATTTTCATAGTGTTGTTATTATGAAGTAGGTTCTGTTCTCTGGCATGTTTTTGAAATGAGAAAACCGAGGCTCGGACAGATTAAGTAGTTTTCCCAAGGTCACACAGCTAATAAGTAGCAGAGCCCAGATATGAATATAGATCGTCTGATTACGGCCTGCCTGTGATGTCTCCCTACCTCCCAGAGCCTGTGGGAAGGTGGTGAGGGGCGGTGTGCTCTCAGGAGCCCCTCTTCAGAAAGCAATTACCTACAGGTTTGATCGGATGGGGGCAGGTGGCCCCCTCTTCATAGATGTGACCTGGCACCCAGCAGGGGACCCCGGCTCAGACAAGGAGACCTCTTCCATGATGATTGCCAGCACCGCCGTGAACTACTGTGGCCTGGAGACCATCCTGCACATGACCTGCTGCTGTCAGAGCCAGGAACAGATCACAGGCTACCTGCACAAGGCCAAGCGGCTGGGACTGAAGAACATCTTGGCGTTGAGGGGAGGTGTGGAGACAGCCCTCTACTCTCTGGGATCTTGCTTCCTCGAAGGCCTCTTCTGTCCCCGTAACGGTCCTTTCTGTTTCTCCGGGCCCCGCACTGGGCACGCTCAGCGTGCCCTCCCGGCCAGTCGTGTCAGGAGGCGTGGTGGGTAGTGAGCGCTGTCGGTACCGCACAGATGGAGCCACTTCTTGACCTCTTGACCTCAGCGTAGGAGTTCAGTCAGGAATGCAGCCTTGCCTGATAACCCTCTGCTCTGGCTACTTACAGCTTCAGCGATTGCTGGCCATGCCCAGCTCCGGGCCCAGTCAAAGAGCGTGGTTCTTGGCCTTGATCCCAGGGGTGAGACAGCCCCTCATGCCTCTGGCACCTGTTGTCACCACGCCCCCGAGTGGGGGAAGAGGGACGGGATGGGGGATTCTGTGCCCTCGCGCCCCCCACGAGGACTCGCTTGAGTTGAGTAGAAAATTCTCCCGGGAGGCAAGGGGTCCAAGAGGGTGGGAGAGTGAGCAGTGGGGTTGGGTGAGGGTGCCTGAGCACCCCCAGATCTGGGTAGGGAAGGGGTCTCAGATGCTCCAGGCTAACCCCAGAGCAGCAGCTGTCCCCTGCTTAGCGTGGCCAGCACACTGCCCGCGGAGTCGGGGCTTGGTATGTGCTTGACAGGGTGGCTGCTGTCTTCCCGGCCGCCATTTGCCAAGTGCCACGCTGGGAGGAGCAGGCACACACTTGGAGAGGAGCCCGCTGCCCCGGGTGTGGGGTAGGAAGAAGGAACACAAAGACCGTCTGGAGTGTGGGTGAGACCCAGTGACCGTGGCCTCTGTCACCCTTGCAGACCCCGTGGGTGACCAGTGGGAAGAGGAGGAGGGAGGCTTCAGCTATGCCGCGGACTTGGTGAGGCACATCCGAAGTGAGTTTGGGGACTACTTTGACATCTGTGTGGCAGGTGAGTGGCTGGGCCTTCTCGGGGGACAGGGAAGGGAAGGCGTGACACGCCCAGAGAGGCACAGAAGGCCCGCTGGCATTCAGTTCGGGACCCGGTGACCCAGGGCGTCGCGGGCCTGCGCCTGTGCCAGGGGCGGGCGGCTCAGAGATGCATCACACAATGCCCTTGCTCTCATTCTGTCATCCGCCCCTGCCAGGCTGCCGCCAGCCCTTAAGTTTTTATTTCTCTGCCTTTCTGTGCTCTTAGCTTGCTTCCCAGCCCTATTCTTCTTAAAACAAAAAAGGGATGTTTGTTAAGACTGGGGGTGGGAGGCCAGGGGATTTCAGAACCCCTGTCGGAGAATGGTACTTGACCTCATGAGGCCCTGGACCCAGAAGCAGTGAGACACTAAGGCCTCCCTCCTGTCTGGAGCCACAGAGTTACCCCCCCCCCATCTCTGCCTCCCACTGCACACGTGCTCCACGCTTCCAGTATTCCTGATATGTACACTTTTGCACACACATGACCAGCCGCCTGCTCCTGAGTGACATGGCCACTTCCAGTCAATAGTCCAGACAGACTGACAGGTATGAGTCAGTCCAAATTCTCAGGAGAGAGCATTGGATTGGCTCAGCTCCAGTTCCATGGGCTACAGCCAAGAGGCAAGGTTCACCTGCTCGAAATGGATGAAGTGGCCTTCCCTTTTACCCCCACTCGCTGGGATTGGGCCTCAGCTTCTTGAGCTGGGGCTTGGGTATGGTGAGGCAGCATGTGCCCGGGATGCCAGAAGTCCAGGGATTAACTTGACACACCATCTCGGCATGACAGTTTTTCTCAAAATTTTTTTGGGGAGAATCCTATCATTTTTACATTAATTTTTATATTAAAACAAACACGGCTACGCTCTGGAGTAGCATATCAAAGTGACGTGAATTTTAAAAACTAACCCATGTGGCCTCAAGGAAGTTAGTTGTTGCTGGTGGCTTTGAACTTAGTCCCAGGCCCCCACGTGCATATCCACTCTTCACAGCCAACGGGGGCATTTAGGTGAGTCTGGGAGGCCCTGATGAGTTAGGAACATAGTGAGCATTTCCCCCTGTTCAAGCATTCACTGCTTACATGGGCCACCATTTGGTCAGTAAACTGGGGAACGTGCACGCATGCAGTAGGCATTAGGTGGTTGTGCACGGAGACTGGCTAAGCTGTGAGCTTGTAGGTGCTGAGGGGTCTGGGGTTTTGTCTGTCATAAAGTGGATGAGCAGGACAATTGGGGTTGAGAAACACATTGGCTGTGACAGAAAATGTAGTAAACGGGGCAAAATCTAAATGTAAGCAAATGCTACATGTGTTTGGTGATATTGAGGATTTAGAGCTATAGTTTCAGCTATTAAAACCTCCTTGTTTTTGAAATTCCTGCTGGAAAAATAGCTTTGTTATTGAAAGTGAAATCGTGGTGCTCAGTCCTACCCCTTTGCCCCCTGAGACAAGAGTTTTTATATTCATTTTTGATGACTTGGCGTTTCTCAGAACAGAAGGGCCTTATCACAGCAAAGCAGCTTGGCTCCCCAGCAGCCCGTCTCAGCGTCCTGCCCAGGGCTTAGGCTCAGGAAGCTAGCGCTCTCCTATAGCTTCCTGAAGGCCTACAGTTGTCCTTCGCAAACACCAAACATGGCTGCCTGTGAATTCAGTCGCTCAGGGAAGGAAGCAGTCATAGGGTTACTTACTTGAGCTAGTAAGGAGCGCACGTGATGTGTGGTCCTGCCTCCCAGGCAGTTCTGGAATCCCATCCTTGGCCTCCCCGGCTCGAGGTCTCCAGGAGCTTGTTACTTGGTGGGGCCGCTCGTTCCAGTGTTAGGCAGCTCTCTGGGACCGATCCTGGCTCTGTCGTCAGAAGCAACACAGACTAGGACTAGTAAGGAACTTGATGAAGGTGAATCCCTTTTCCCCTGCGACAGACCTTTGGGCTTTTGGAAGTAGTTCCGGTGTTCTCTTCATTCTCCCCTTCAGGAGAAACATCCCCACTTTCTTCAGTTCTTCCCTGGGTAACATGGTTTCTAACGTCCACTCTCTTGGATCCCTGAGTAATTTTCACGTTAAGTTAAAAGTACGGGTTTGAATCCAGTGCCCAGACTCCAGCCCAGGAGCCCAGGTGCTGCCAGACCCGTGCTGAAGGCGACATTTTCTCTTTTCTGTGGCCATAGCGTGCCGGCCGGATTTGCCCGGCTGCTTGCCATGGACCTGAGGCAGGATGGCATGGGAGTTTGGTGCCATCCCCCCAACTCTTGGGCAGGTGGCCCTAGGCCACCTCTCACCAAGGGTCATGTCCAGAGCGAGAAGCGCAGCCACTCACTGTCTCGGCCTGTCTGTGCTGCGGTATTGCAAGGGACAAGCCCAGAACCTCCGAGACAGAGAGCTCTCTGCTCCCAGCTTTCTGGTCTCTTCCTCACTCACCTTGAGCACGTGGGAGCCAGCCTACTGTCATCCCTGTCGGCAGGTTACCCCAAAGGCCACCCCGACGCAGGGAGCTTTGAGGCTGACCTGAAGTACTTGAAGGAGAAGGTATCCGCAGGAGCCGACTTCATCATCACCCAGCTTTTCTTTGAGGCTGACACATTCTTCCACTTTGTTAAGGCTTGCAGCGAGATAGGCATTACCTGCCCCATCCTCCCCGGAATCTTTCCTATTCAGGTGAGGGTCCCAGGAGGGCCGTGGACTCCCTCCATCCGCCTCCTAGCACAGGCCAGGGCCCTGGGGTGAAATGCCAATCTCTGATGCTCAGTAGACTTCCCTTCAGACAGATGTTCCAGTCCTTGCAACATGCCACTCCGCTTTGGTCACCTCTAATCCACCCCCCGCCTCCGAAATAGCAATAGTGTCTGTTGGAGGGGCTGCTGATAAGTGTCTCTAAAAGGGATTATAACTCTCATTGTAAATCTTGGTAAAATCAATGCTTTCCAAACTTGACTGTCATCAAAATCATTTGAAAAACTTTTTTGAAAGATAGATTTTCAGATACCCTGTCTGGAAGTTCTAATTTAATAGGTCTGAGGTGGGTCCTGGGAACTTGGATATTACTTATTAAATTTTACAGGTGGTGCTGATGATCAGTGCAGCTTGGGAGCCATTGGCCTTGTTGCCCACTGGGTTATCAATAGATACACGTAGGGGCGGAAGGGCTAGCTCAGCCTGAGGGCAGGAATGCTGTAGGCAGCTGCTGTACTGAGTGGAAGAAGCAGGACAAGGTGGGGGTACTCCTACAATCTGGACTGACTTTCCTGAGTCACTCTGTGTCACACTGCAGTTGGCCGGGAGGCCTGGTGGGGATGGAAAGGGTGGTAAGTATTTCAGGGGAGAGTCAGGCTGGGAGATGGCACCCCACAGCCCCTTGTGTCTCGTACAGGGCTACCACTCCCTTCGGCAGCTCGTGAAACTGTCCAAGCTGGAGGTACCGCAGCAGATCAAGGACGTGATTGAGCCAATCAAAGACAATGATGCTGCCATCCGAAACTATGGCATTGAGCAGGCCGTGAGCCTGTGCCAGGAACTTCTGACCAGTGGCTTGGTGCCAGGCCTCCATTTCTATACCCTCAACCGTGAGATGGCCACCACAGAGGTGCTGAAGCGTCTGGGCATGTGGATTGAGGACCCCAGGTGAAGCCACTGGCCCCGAATTTGGGTGTGGGAGGCACAGAGGAAAGTCAGATGGGCAGAAAAGTCAGAGAGAGGTCACAGAATGAGCATGCCCTAGCAGTGCTAGCCACCACGGCGGTACAGAGGGATGTCTGCCATGGCTAGCCGTACACTAAGGGTTCTGTCTCAGTGGGAACTCCATGCACAGTCAGATCAGAGAGGTCAGGCTGAGTGGTGTCCCCACCTCCCCTCCCCTTGCCCTTCCTGCTTCCTCTAGCCAATCCCTTACTCATTCTGTCTCCATTCTCACCCAGGCGTCCCCTGCCCTGGGCTGTCAGTGCCCACCCCAAGCGCCGGGAGGAAGATGTACGTCCCATCTTCTGGGCCTCCAGACCAAAGAGCTACATCTACCGCACACAGGAGTGGGATGAGTTCCCCAACGGCCGCTGGTGAGCAGCTGCAGGCAACCCATTGCAAGTGTATCCTGTTTCTTGGGAGGGAGGCAGAGGGAATTTGCCTGCTTATTGGCATGCTTTTTGGGGAGTGGTGTGGGACAGGATTCACAGGAATGTCCCTTGGGCGGGTGGGTGCAACTGTCCCTCTGTCAGGAGCCCCAGGTCAGGAGTATGCCTTACCCTCTGGGCACCTCCTCTGCCAGGGGCAATTCCTCCTCTCCAGCCTTCGGGGAGCTGAAAGACTACTACCTCTTCTACCTGAAGAGTAAGTCCCCAAGGGAAGAGCTACTGAAGATGTGGGGGGAGGAGCTGACCAGTGAAGAAAGTGTCTTTGAAGTCTTTGCCCGCTACCTCTCAGGAGAGCCCAACCAACATGGTCACAAGGTGAGTAATGCCAGGGTGTGGATCCCTGGTTATATCCCCCGCCCTGTCTCCCTGTGGGCCACACCTCGGGGCTGTGACTCACACTGCCCCCGCCCCCACCCAAGCCTCCCCTCTCTTTGTCTGAATGTGGCACCTCAGCAAAAGGGAGGGTGAGTTGGGAAGTCCCCACCTGGGGCGCCTAGAAGGGCTGACAGACGCACAGGTGGAGCCCGCGAGAGGGAGGGAGCCCAGGGTGTCTGGTGTGATCGTGGCCCCAGCCCGGCTCACCCTCTCCCCCAGGTGACTTGCCTACCTTGGAATGACGAGCCCCTGGCTGCCGAGACCAGCCTGATGAAGGAGGAGCTGCTGCGAGTGAACCGGCAGGGCATCCTCACCATCAACTCTCAGCCCAACATCAACGGGAAACCATCCTCCGACCCCGTTGTGGGCTGGGGCCCCAGTGGGGGCTATGTCTTCCAGAAGGTGCGGCAGGGACATACAGGGCTGTTCCACCTCGGCTGGCCCCCAGAGGTTCCCCAGAGATGGGGACAGAGAAACCTCCCTCCCCGGGGTCTGTTTATGGTGAGGGGCAGAGGATCAGAGTGGACAGGAGCTCACGTTTTTAGACAGACCTGGGTATGCAGGTTCCTTGACTGCTCTGAGCCTCAGCTGTCTCTTCTGTAAAATGGGGATAGATCCCATCACGTTCTGGAGCCGAAATGCTTGGTACGCGGGAAGAACATAGGAAGCATTCACTAAATGGAACTGTAATTGGTGTCCCGAGTTGACACCTTTCTCCTAGGGCTGCTCTAGTTAAAATGACATTCTAGAACTGTAGCCCGGGCATTCTGGAGTTTGAGAGACCTGGGTCTGAGTCCCAGCTCTGCTGTTTACCTTCAGTGCAGCCAGGTTGCTCAACTTCTCCGGACTTAGTTTCCTCATCTGTGAGATGGGGGTAATAGTGCTCCCCCTTCAGGCTATGAACCCGGCCTCATCCCTGACAGGCAGTTGGCACTCGAGAAGCCCTCGGTGTCCGTGTTAGCCTCCAGTGAGTGGGGAGGCCGGGATGTGTCAGGCCTCGCTCCCGTGTCTCAGCTTACCAAACGGGGCCTCCCATCCGGCTTCTGAAGTGGCCTCTCCATGGGGCCTTCCCTGGTTGGGAGAAGGGTGGCAGATGCCCCTTAGACCTGTCCAGACCAAGAAATCCCACGTACCTGCTCCCCTCCCCCTTGCTTGCATTCGCCCGCTCTCAGTTCATGATTTGATCCACGTGGCCACGCTAGCCCCAGTGTCTCAAGTCCTGCCACACGTGTCTGCGTGGGCTCCTGCCCGGGGCGGTCCGGAGGGCCAGCGTCCAGAGTCACGGTGCACACGGAGCAGGGCTGTGCAAGGACTGGGCTTGATGTGGCCATGCCTGTCCCGCTCTCACAGGCCTACTTGGAGTTCTTCACTTCCCGAGAGACGGTGGGGGCGCTTCTGCAGGTGCTGAAGAAGTATGAGCTCCGGGTTAATTACCACATCGTGGACGTCAAGGTAGGCTGGCTCCTGGGCTTTAGACAGTGCTCAGCAGGCCCAGAGTCCCGGGACTGAAGGCACTGTGTTTACCCCTCCCTTCGGTGAGCGCTGAGCACCTAGCCCGGGCCAGGCATGGTGGAAACGTATACCCAGAGCCAGGCCCCTGCCCTCAGCTCAGAGGGCCCCCGGTCTAGGGAGGGGCCCAGTCCGTGGGTAATCACACATCTGGTTGCACATTTAACAATAAGGTTCAGTATAGGATGCTGGGGACCCAGGGGAGGGATGTCTAATCTGAGAGGTCAGGGAAGGCTTGGAGGGGTCCCATGCGGTTGGAATCTTTGAGGACAAAGAGAAGGCTTCACAGGGAGAGGGAGGAGGTTGTGCAAAGGCGTATTGTCTGCACGGCCTTCAGGGACTGCTCAGTGGGTTCAGAGCGAGGCTAGAAGTACTGACTGGCCTGCTGGGAATTTGGTTTTCCCCTGGAGGCGAGAAGGAGCCTTTCTGAGCAGCAATGGCTTGGCTCCATGTTTTGTCATAGACAGGTCACGGTGGACAGGGGTGTGGATAATGGGACCAGAGAGACTAGAATCAGAGCCCCTGTGGCAATCTGAGTAGCAAAGAGCGGCCTGGCTGGGCAGACACGGCAACAGGTCCACAGATCCACAGATCCACAGATCCGTAGAGTGACCCTGCAGGAGTCAGCAGGAGCCACCAGATGTGGGGGCTGTGATGTGGGGGATGTGGAGCTTGGAGCACAGTGGGGAGGAAGGAAGTGCCCAGCCCCTGGCCTTCAAGGAGCTGTAGGGCTAGGAGGGGAGGGTGGAGGGGATGGAGCAAAGCCTGCTCCACCCCCCACCCCCACCCCTGTGAGTTCCCAGGCAAGAAAAGGACTGCAGTGTCTAGGCCCAGGTCTGCTCTGACCCCTCCCTCCCACCCATCTGCCCTCAGGGTGAAAACATCACCAATGCCCCTGAGCTGCAGCCCAACGCAGTCACTTGGGGCATCTTCCCTGGGCGAGAGATCATCCAGCCTACAGTGGTCGATCCTGTCAGCTTCATGTTCTGGAAGGTGAGGGGCCCAGGAGCCCAGGAGCGGGTCTGCCCTGCGCACCCTGCAAACCTTAGGCAGGCGGTGTCATTGGGGCCACGCCCCCAGGGTTGGGGGGCAGGGCGCCGCCTTCTGGGCTGTGTTCTGGCTCTGACTCTGACTCAGGGTGTTGATTTCTGGGCTGGGGGATGGGAGGAGACTTTGGCAGTGGGCCTTGTTCTATTTCTGGAAATGTCCTGTTGAGCAGCTTAGAGGCCCTGGGGGCGCTCAGCATGGAGCCCTGACCCAGAGGCAGCTCTGTTCACCTTGCCTGCCTGTGTGTGTGTGCGCGTGCGTGTGGGTGCAGGACGAAGCCTTCGCCCTGTGGATTGAGCAGTGGGGCAAGCTGTATGAGGAGGAGTCTCCGTCCCGCATGATCATCCAGTACATCCATGACAACTATTTCCTGGTCAACTTGGTGGACAATGAGTTTCCTCTGGACAACTGCCTGTGGCAGGTGGTGGAAGACACATTTGAACTTCTCAACAGGCCCACGCCAGAGCAAGGGGCAGAGGCTCTATGATCCTGCGCTGTCGTGTCCTTGGCTTGAGCCCACTGGTGTCCTGCCTTCCTCCTCCCCAGTCCTGGTTTTCCTGGGGACCCCTCCTCTCTTTCATTTCTCCCCAAGCCCCAGCTGCCACTCCTCATGTGGTGATGGCAGCTGGACTGGTGTGAGGCTTCTGGGCTCTGGCTGGACTGGAGCCAGCCCCGTGAGGGAGCCTGGTCTTCCTTGCTCGGCCTAGAGTCTGTGCTCTATATGAGGAGCACTTCCCTCCGCAGAGGACCTGGCGGATGGAACAACATCCTCCCTGAGAAGAAGAGGGGGTGGTTGTTGCTGACCGAGCCCCTGAACCGGGGCAGTTCCTGGGACCTTGCACTTCGGACCTGCGGGGACAGCAAAGTGAACCCGGGTGGTAGGCACTTGCGGCACTGCCGAAGAGACCAGCCAAGCAGAGGGGCCCCCACCCCCTGCTCATCTCAGAGGTGGTCCTGCTTGTGGCCGGAGGGGCAGGCCGCCCGCTTGGCAGGGCGCCCGCCAGGCCTCCGGACAGGCCTTGGCCTGAAACCCGATAAGGCAAGCATTTCTTGCCCCTGTCTGCCTGAGAGCCAGCTGGGCTTTCACTTTTCTACTGTGCTGCTTTTCCGTATTTTGGTGGTTCAAGAGGGAAAGTGCCTCGTAGAGGTTAAAGGCATCTGAACCCTTGTACTTGGTGAAGCCCTTGGCCTGCCCTTTTTCCCGCCTGGCCATGGACGGATACCCTGCCTCTTACTGTCAAGGGCAAAGCTGAGGCTCAACTGAGCAGGACTGACTTCTTCCTGGCTTAGTTTTTTAGATGGGACCTCTTAGTGCCAGCTACCTCCTCCGTCTGCTCGGCCTGTTCCCGAAGCGGTCTGCCTGGCACTGCTCCGCAGGAGTCAGCCCTCGAGCCCCACTGCCAGTGGCCAGTGACTGCTAGATGCCGAGAAGCCATTCCCTGTCCTGGTCCCGGTCCCTGTCAGCTGGTCCTCGCTGGCTCAGCAGGAGGAGAGTGGGGGTAGGTGCCCAAAGAGCAGCCTGATGCCAGAAGAGGCGGGCACAGTCACGGGTGTACCCTCTTGGCTTCCTTCTCAGGGTGGCTGACCGAGGCAGAGGGGTGGGCCTTAGGAGACACCGAGCAAGAGAAGCAGCAAGGACTAAGGACCGTGTTTTATTGTCCTTCAGAGCTCAGAGAGCTGGCCCCTCTGTGACCAGGCTGCACTCCCCTGATGGGTGGAGCATGGTTCCTTCCTTAGGGAGGCTGGGCTCAGTGTTGTTTTTCTTTCCATGGGAACAAGTCACAGCTGCAGCTGGGTCCCCTGCTCCGCCTCAAGTCCACCACACACACGGGCTCGAGCAGCTTCCAGCCTGCTCCCAGGGTTCCTGATGCCCACCTGGCTCAGGTATCAAGCTGCTGGTGGCTCCTCTCTTCTGGCTCCTGGCTGCCAGGTGCTGGCGCCACTTCTCAAAGGCCTGGAATTTGGGAGGAGGAAGGAAAGGCTATTTGGTTTCCTCCTGGGTCTGCTGTATGTGCTAGGCTAACACCTGTGCCCTGTTCCTTCTCTCCCCAGAGGGAATAGGAGACGCCACCCCCCCTTCCTCCACCCCAGCCAGCCAGCCTGCCAGCCTGCCAGCCCGCTAGCCAGCTCTGCCCCAGGCCTAATGCACAGGCTCAGAACAGATCTGACTTACGGTCTGGGAACCTATGCTCAGAGTGGGGCGGATAAGGGAGGGGGCACTTAGGGACCCATACCCAACACGGGCTAGTGTGAGTGGCAGCCATGCTGTGGCCAAGCCTCGTTCCTACACCAAGTGGCTGGGTAGGACTGGGCCGAGTGCATGATCGCGAGCTAAATCAGGACCCAAGCTGTGTCTTCTCTAATGGAACTGACTCTGCCCCTAAAAATGGAGGGGCCCTGGGGGATGATGACAAGGAGGGCCCCCAGCTCCGAAGAGCTGCTGGGAGGTGGGGGCCGCTCCCCCGCCCCGTACCTGGGAAAGGACCCGGCCACCTTCTTGCTGCTGTAATCGCTGAGCCACCCATAGCCGCAGGGCCCGCTGCCGCCACACACGCCAGGCCCACTTCAGGTGCCACTGCCTCAGCTGTGGGGGTGGGAAGTGAGAGGCCCCCGGCCAGGCCGCTGCTGCCCCCCAGCCCCTCTGCTGTGTCTTCCCTCTACGGCTTTGCAGCACCAGGAGGAAGGGGCTGTGACGGGGCGGGCGGGGGGTGTCCCTTAAGGTGCGTTAATGCAGATCCTTGCACCTGACCCCAAGCTTTCAGACTTGATCCATACAGAGACCAAGATGTTTTGAGAGATGTCATTTCTAGCGGTTAGGGTCGGGGACGAGGTGAGCTGCGAGATCAGCTTGAGGCTGGGGGGGGGTGCCCCCACTCACCAGCGTCCGTGCCAGCTGCTTGGCGCCCTGAGCATCTACCCGGTGCTGCCCCGGTGCGGCTAGGTGCCTGGCCCGCTGGGGGCCCCGCAGCCGGCAAATTGGTGCCTCACAGTGCCAGCGCTGCAGGTACTTCCTCCTGGTGGGGAGAGGCCCTGGCGTGCACCCCGGTAGCCAAGAGCATCAGGAGCCCTTCATGACCGGGAAGAAGGGCAGAGCCACGGACCCCCCTGGATCCTCCAGGAATGAGCACTGGCTCGAGAGAGGGTCCGGCCCCTGCCCCGGCTCAACCCGGCCCCCAGGTCCTGCCCCTGAGCCCCACCCACCCCACTCACTCGTGCAGGCGCAGCTGCTCTTACCCCAGCTGTCTAGCGGCCTTGCCTTGACTTTTGAGGGCTCCGGCCTCAGAGCTGCAGTCCCCACCTGGTCTTGTAGGGGGCCAGCCTTGGGTCTGGCCGGCGCATCCAGGCCGTTGCCACTGGCGCTGGAAGGCACCGCAGAGAGGGGGCTCTTTGCTGCCTGGGAGAAGAGGTTAACAAAATCTGTACATAAAAAGCATTTCCAGGCTTGTGAGATGTCTGGCCCCAGGGGCAGGTCTCCTTACTCTGAGCCCAGGATATTTCTGTCTGCTTCCTATGTCCGCTGTGGCAGTGGTGCTGGCTTGGGCTGGGCAGTGTCCCAAAGCCGTGGGTCTGAGGGAACAGCCAGAGAGGAAAATCTGAACCCCATGGGCCTGGACCCCCTGCATCCCAGGCAACCTGGCAGGATTCTTCGTGTCCTGCCCCTGACCAGAAGCAGGGCCGCCACCTCTTGTGTGGCCCCGAGGCTCCCAGAGGAGGCAGGGAAGGTGCCTGGGAGTAGGGCCATGGGCACACACCACTGCCTCTTGCCCCATCCTCCCAGCGTGGTTGGAGACTCAAGCAGAGGGGCGGACCTGGTCCACACCTGGTGAGAGCTCACCCGTGCCCGTGCAGCCTGTGAGGAGGTCTCTCCCCACCTGGGCTTTACAAAGTGAGATTACCTGCCTGAGGCCCCTTGTCTCAGGAGCTATCTGACTCCAGAGCCCGAGCCCAGCCACTGCTCTCCCACGGACCAGGGGCTCTCGAAGGACTTCTCTGCCCCCAGGAGGCATAATAGCAGCTTGTGTGGCTCGGTGAGGGCCGCCTGGGTGCGTGTGTGCATGTGGGAGAAAGGGGGGGCCCTGGAGCCAAGTACCCTAGCTATCCTTCCCGGCATTTACTTTTGGTTTCGGTATGCCTCTGTTTCTCCCGTCAGCACGTGGGATCCCGCCTGCCTTTGCTGATAAGAATGGAGTATTTGTATTTTTAAACAGACTGAAAATAAAATTGTGACACAGATCTAGAAATAAAATACTGAGCCCCCAGAATCTGTTGCCATAGCCCCCATGTGTGAATATGTGGATTCTGCAAATAACCAAAGTTAGGCCCTTTCAATTCCGTTTTAAAAAAGTAGGGGTGCTTGGGTGGCTCCGTCAGGTAAATGTCCAACCCGATTTGGGCTCAGGTCATGATCTCAGGGGCGTGAGATGGAGCCCTGCATCGAGCTCCGTGCTCAGGGCAGGGTCTGCTTGAGATCCTCTCTCCCTCTGCCCCTGCCTGCACTCACATGCGTGTGCTCTCCCTCTAAATGGAATCTTTAAAAAAATTTTTTTAGGGCGCCTGGGTGGCTCAGTCGGTTAAGCGGCTGCCTTCGGCTCAGGTCATGATCCTGGAGTCCCGGGATCGAGTCCCACATCGGGCTCCCTGCTTGGCGGGAAGCCTGCTTCTCCCTCTGACCCTCTTCCCTCTCATGCTCTCTATCTCTCATTCTCTCTCTCTCAAATAAATAAATTAAGAAAAAAAATTTTTTTTAAATCCTTTTTCTAAGAACCTTTCTAGAATCTATTACATGCTTCCTGGCATTCTGAAACAGGATTCTAGATGATTCCAGATCATCTTTAGGAACACTGTGTGGACTGCCAGTAACTCTGCGGCTGTGTGTCTTCCAATGACGTGTCCCTAGACTGCAATGCGGTGTCCCTTCTTGGGCCTGCCTTTCACTGTGGCTTCTTCAGTCCTGTTTGCCATTAAGCTATTGTCACCATTTGAGGGTGTCAGAACTGTTTCTTTATTTTTCCCTTTTAAAAGTTTTATTTTAAGTAGCCTTCACACTCAACATGGAGCTCGAACTCACAACCCCGAGATCGAGAGTCACGTGTTCCACTGACTGAGCCAGTCAGGCACCCCAGAACTAACTGCTTCTGGTTCAGAGAGGGACTGGTGGTTGTCTTTGGGTGGAGGGAGTTATGAAAGCAACATTTCCTTTGTACTTCCTGATTTTCGTGTAGTGAGTGTGTTTAATTTTTCCAATAAGGACTAAAAGGGACTTGGCGAACAGTTGTTCCTATCCGCATGTACCTGACTCTAGGCTGCACCAGGGTACATATGAGTTCAGGTGTCTGTCTCCCTAATAGACTGTGACCACGGTATTTGTCTTTGTGGAGGACCTGTGCTGGGCTGGCACTCAGTAGGTGCTCAGTAAATGTCTGCTGATGGACCCAAAGATGGCAGTCTTCCAGAGCCAGGAGGCTGTTCTAGAACCTAGCAGGGGTA